TGGCACAGAGGAGAGAGAGAGAGAGAGAGAGAGAGAGAGAGAGAGAGAGAGAGAGAGAGAGAGAGAGGGAGAGGAGTCAGGTCTGGTGAACCCTCCTCCTCCAGTGCTTTTTCCAGATTTGGGCTGAGAACCATAATCCAAATATATTGCTCAGAAATATCACATCTTACATGTACTGTTACATCACTGGGCTTCTGTTGAAATTCTGCATTGCTGGAGTTCGATGAGGGACAGCAGAGGTTTGAGATCACACACTCTGTCTGTCTCTCTCTCTATCACAAACACACACACACACACACACACACACAAATGGTCCTGTCCTGCATAATTGAACATATTGCATCCATCACGGTCGCTGGATCAGTTGGTGCAAACAATGACGGATAACAGCAAACATGACATATTCAAAAATGGCAGGTGTGTATATTTTGATGGTAGAGACTCCGGGTGTGTGTGTGTGTGTGCGTGTGTGTGTGTGTGCGTTTGTACAATGCACTTAGATTTTGATTTGTCTGGTGTTTCTGAGCCCGCGCTGCCATCTTTCATCTGCTGTCCATCAACTCCCGGTTAAAATCATCATTCCGGCGAATCTTGACCTTCAAACCTGAATCCTCCAGGCCAAACAGACGCGCTAATTAACGCTGCGCTCCATAACTTCACACAGTCATTTCATTCCCTGTGTGTCTGCCTCTGGAATGGGTTCAGCATACTGAGATCCAGGACTTGAAAGCGCCCCATGTTGGGTCACACCGAATACTGCCTGAGTAATGCTTATAAAAAGGAGCTTACAGTCAACTTTAACTTGTCCCCCAGTCCTCCAGATAAACATATAGGGTTGTGCCCTCCTCCACCATGTTTCCAGTTTTTCAGCTAAATGTGTTTTTTTTCCCATGAAAATCCATCTTCCTGCCCCCCCCCCCAACAGGGACTGCATGTACAATCACAATGCTTCAGGATGATAAAAACGGGAGGGTGGGGGCAGTTTGAGACGTCACAATCTCTCCACTAAAGGGATTTCCCGCCATATTGCCGGGGTTTAACTATATTCTGAAGTTAGTAATGACGGTATGATGGAGCATGTGCTCGTAAAATAGGACACCAGACACACTTTCCCACCAGAAAGCAATCTGGTGCGTTCACGCTGTGAATACTGCACTTTATCTGCCATCTGTGCACTATACTTCCAAATTACACTTCCATTATGTGGGACGTCAACCTGTATTAGAGAGCGGTCCATAAATTATGAAACTCCAGGTCTTAGAAAATATTATGTGTCGTCCGTCTTATCTGTAGCATGTGCCGGGATTACATCAGCTGTCTGTGTGTTTTTACTGATGATCACTGCGCAGACTGGAAAACACGTGTTTCCGTGTCCTGTACTGGATTATTTTACACTTTTAGAAACAATAGCAATCCTTTCATAACTGATAATCAATCATTTACAGATATGTATTAACATCTTGAACAAAAAAAAAAGGATAATTGATGACAGTGACTCAGGGTTTAGCTTCTTAATATTATTCAAAACAGGCTGTTAATAAATTAATAAAGTCATTATACATAATACATTGTTTATTCTTCACACTCATAATTAACTGAGCTCCTGAACAGATGCTGCCACTTGGTCCTTGTATCTTTTGTCGTTCGAGGTCCTTTCAGAAACAGGAATTAAAAAACAAAAAATTAGTAGTTATTTAATTTTTATTTCTATAATACAAACATTTAAATTGAAATACAAGGCACTTTTCCTTATTTTCATTTTCTTTTTCAAACTCAGTACACTGAACACTTATTTTTGTTTGAATATTGGCTAATTAATATCTTAATGTGTAAATGCTGCATTAGATCAGTAGGTTCTGTATTATAGTACGAGGTGAAACGGTGAGAAAACACACCCAAGTCAGAACCAGCTTGGTTTGAGTCGACCATCTGTTTGAAACCGCGATGACAGACCTGAGCGTCAGAGATCACATGTTAAAAAGCGAGGCGCTTCACAAACACGGTCGTTGAACGTTTTAACTGATCGTTTTGCTTCCCGCTCCACATCATATTATTCATGATGAACAACCACTTTTCTTATCAGATATCACATTAATTTGTCCCGGGGAGTTAAAATCGAGTTACCTCGAGTGTGCTGATTGGGGAAGTGCCAGGATCTCAGTCTGAGGTCAGGGACAAAACACTCGCAAGACAAATTATCACCCATATTTTTAACTGTCAATAATACACTGACCTTGTCGCTGCTCTTTCACGACCGCATCAGTCACCATTTATTACTCAATTAAAATGCCATTCTAAATTATTTCTCAGTTAGTGGTGTGCTGGTCGCTGGGACCTCAAAGGAAAGGTGGGGGTGAATGATCAAGTCTAAAGTCCTGTTGTTCTTTTACTATTTAAATTCACATCAGTGATGGATGAGGGTACGAGTCGACGTGTTTGAATTGATCATTTGTCAAATTAAATTATATAATTTGTAGAAGGATGAAGTCCCGACGCCGTCAGAGTCGGTGCAGGAAGAAAAGCCTCATCATCATCAAGTAGCAGAGGTGGAGAAAGTTCCTCCAGGTCAGATATTACTCCAATACAAGTGAATCGTTCTGTCACATTTCTACTTGAGTTAAAGTACTTGAGTACTCCATTTTAAAAAATACTGAAGTATTCAAAAGTACAGTTTTTTTTAATTACTGACTGACTGACTGTAGAACCTTTAGAATAAAAACTCTAGGATATGATAGAAAGCCTGTGCAAACGTCCAGAAGTAGTTTGGCCAGCTGTTGCATTAAAAACAGCAGCTACTACAAGACGTCCGTCTGAAAGTTTATCTGGAATTTAAAAAAAAAAAACATTTCCTCAAGCTGGACGGCGGTGAAGTTTGATCGTGGTTAAACACAGCACACATTTAAAGCAAAAAGGAAATCCGTCTTTATTTCTAAAATTTAAAAACTGTGGACTAAAGATACTGTCCGTCGCATTTTTCAAAATAAAATAAAAATAAATCCGCTGACTAAAAGCTCTGCTTCAGCACAGTATGAGGAAGATCGGTGAAGTGCGACAACGTTCAATAAGACTTGTGGTAAATAAACAAATATTAAAGGTTGCATATACAGTTGTTATGTCTTCCTCATCATGCTAGCTACCAATCAGTAGCTGGGGATTCATCTGATTGGCCAAATGCTGTGACACATGACACATGTAAATAAGATGCGATTTTTGAGTCCTTTGCGATGTTGTTTATTGCACATGTTCATATCGCCATGACGATGAAAACACGATTTGTCGGTCGGCACTTCTTCAGAGTAACAAGTCCTTCACAGAAATGCAGTGAAGTCAAAAGTTCAGTGTTTGTCTTTTAAGTGCAGTGCAGTAAAGGTCAAAGGATTCTTAAATAAATAATCAAGTAAATCAAGTAAAGTCCAGATACTGGAAGAATACACTTAAATAAAGTAACTCAAGTGAATGTACTTTGTTACCGTCCTCCCCTGTCAAGTAGAGCAGTTTGAACGAAAGAGAAATAATATATTATTTGTTTGAGTTCATTCAAATTCAACCCACAAATCCAAAACCTACGGAACTGGAGTCTGCCACTTCACTGAAGTGACAAGATAACATGACCGTCAGGCAGTCGCATTTTATGAACTCCGCAAACAGCCACACCTTTATCTGTATTTATACATCAAACCCGAGGTTTGACTTGAATTGGGACGCACTGAGGTACACGCTGCGCGGCCTGTTGAAAAGATAGATTGACTTCCTGATCAGAATTGACGTCCCCATTAAGTCGAGACGACAGAAAATGATTTCAAATCCACGGCAGAGCCATTGTAATTCATCAGATCTCTTGGTGTGAACTCACTGGGCCTGGTGCAGTCATCCTGCCATTTCCTGAACACTCATATTTGATAAACACTGTGATGTAGATTTGCATGTGAGAAGAATCGCTTATGAGTAAAGATCATAAAAAATACCCCACATCACCGGCGGACGTCCGGTTTTCGTCTCAACAAGAGTCACCGCGGGTCGACGATCTTTGAGAGACTTGTAAAAACATAACTCTGTGATTAGATGATCGACAGACGTCTCGGTGTTGCCTCTGACAGTTGATGAACCCATTCACACTTTTCCATCCATCATCACCTCTGTGACGCCTCCAAAATGAGTCCTCCGTGTGCGGCTTAAATTGGCCAAGGACAGCAGAGATGAGAGATAGCCCCATAATGAGCTTTCTCCCTTAGGAATCAATGCGTAGCTCCGTCCCAGGGGCCACTGAAGGTTGTCTGTAAAAAAAATCAGTCCGCTGCAGGGTCTTAGCCCGAACAGCCAGCCGATCCATCACCTCGCCGTCACGTCGATGAGCAGGAGCGAGCTCCACGCAGCAACAAAAAGGACATTTTGGGACACTCTCTGGTGTTGAATAAATTAACGCCACAGCCGTGTAAGTAGGTGGAGATTGCTACGATATACTTGTCGCGCCGTGTCGTGCGCTTGCGTTTGCGCGTTACATCCCTGATCATTGCGCTGCATAATCAAATTGCCCTTTGGGAATCAGATGACTTTGTGTCTGCGGGAGATAATGCAGAATATGATGATCAGCTAAACCAGCGCTGACCTTGTGTGTCAGTGTAATCATCCCTGGATTGATATGAATCTGTAACATCAAGGAGACGTCCTCACTGCTTCTGACGGCTGAGAGCAAAGAGTGCAAATCCATAATCTTACGCTCACATGTTTTACAACATTTAACTCTGTGTCTGACCTTTAAACTGTAATTCAAGAGGTGTTCTGAGAGGCTAATTATTATTGAAGGTTAATTGAGTAGGAGTTTAAGAAGTTGTGGAGTATAACTTTGCCAAGCGTGCAAATGGAGGGTGAATACAGATGTGAGTCGTTACGTTACGTCTCTCAGCTGACAGAGGGAGACGGGGTGAAGCTGGTTGGTATGATTTAAACGTGTAGCTCTCTGTGTTTGAATCTAAAACAGTTTCTCTCTCCTTCCTCTGCAGTCCGTCTGCTCCGAGGCCAGGCAGCTGTGTGGGGCACCGGGTGTGGATCCTGCTGGCCATGACCCACCTCACCCTGGACTTCTCTGTGTGCAGCCCCCTCGGTCAGGGTCTGGGGATCAAACTCACGCCCAAATCGGTGCCTCGCTCCCGGCCTCGCTTGCAGCACCTCTGGGACACGCCCAACAAGCTCCACTGGAGGACGGCGAGCCCGTTGGCGGCTCGTCGGCTCCTCAACCCCGTCCCTCCGCCCCAAGACAACAGGGCAGGGGTAGGGCTGAAGGTCAAGGGTCAAAAACAGCGGAAGCCGGCGCATAAAGGACAAGCGGCGTGTAAGGAGTGCCGGTTGCGATACTCCCAAATGGAGACAGGCGATCCTTTGGCTGTAATAGCAGAAGCTCCAGCGGCATCGTCCAGCGGGAGCAGAGGAGACACGGTGAGGTTGTTACTCAGAGCCAGGAGGCAGCTCAAGTGGGACAGCTACGACAAGTCTCAGGAGGGCCGGACTACCACGGTGGCCGGATTTATCGACTGGGGGCCCACGGGGACGGACAGCGTGGACGGCGATGACAAACCGGAGCCGAATGTAACGCTGTTCACCAGGGTCTCGACCACCACGGTGGCCACGACCACTAGCACTACAGCCAGGCCCTCCCAAAGGACGTTCACTGTAGTGACCACACCAGAGCCCAAGAGGCCAAGCACCACCAAGGCCCCCATCAGCTCGGAGACTGTCAAACCACAAAAGCCATATGTGGACACACCAGGTAAGACATATTACCCCCCCCCCCCCAATAAACTCATTCATGACATCAGCACTGAAAACGTAAGGGGCCTGCACGGCACAGAAAGGAAGAACGTGGCATCTAGATTGACAGGCGTCAGTTTGTCATGTGGCGATCCGAGGCTAAGCTAAGCTAAGCTAAGCTAACACCTGTGTAGTACCTGTGAAACCTCAACAGATCTGTATGTATAAGGTTGTAAAGTCTCTTTTTACTGATGAAGGTTCAAACTGAGTGAAATGAGCTGAAGTGTCTGAGCAGCAGCCGTGACAGGAGCTGCAGCAGTTCTCTGAACGATGAGGAAAGGAGCTTCAGTGCTTCCTGTCTTATCTCCTTTAGCAGAGGAAACACTGGGGCTTCCTTTACGAAAGGAAAGGAGAAAACGCCGTCCCATGATTCCTCGCCGCAGCAACATTTAAAAAGCGACGCACTGCTGTAGTTTCACCACCCACGTAAATGTAGAAACAACAGAACATCTGTTTAATGTTTGTGACTCGATCCAACACTTATGGAAATCTGGCTGAGCTCCAAATCCATGAATATAGATTTTCTTCTCTTTCAATTCCAACAACAAACATATTGAATTTCTAGTGAACAAAAAACATCGTAACAAAATACCATATACATAAATGTCATTTCACTAAAGCCCCTCCATTGTGTGAAGCACTAAAAATGAATTTTCTTTACTTAACAAACATATAAAAATGTCAAAAGCTCCCACGCCAGGAAACTATAAACTTATGTTTGAATATAATTTATTCCAGCCTCTTGCTCAGTTCCTAACTTTTATTTAATTATCATTTTTATGGCTCGACTTTCTCTATTTGTATTTTCTTTCATATTATCTTAAATCCGACTCTTTCCTTGACCTCATGAGAAGTGGTTAGAAAGGAGATTATTTTGACTGTTCGACCATATGGACCCACAGAGTAACATACACACACTGTGACAATCTCAAAACAAGAAAGACTTGATTAGAAATGTTCACAGTTTTGCCAATTTACACCAAAAAAACCCCTAATGATCAGAAAAGTGTAGATGTAAGAAGAAACGCTGAACAAAATAATTATAGTTTAAAAGGCGTACTGGTCACTCGGCGCCAAAATCCTCACCCACCACCACGACAGAGATCTGCGGTGTGACTGCCAGTAATGCTGCCGACTGGCTTGGTTTGCGTGTTCAAACACAGCTGGCGGGGCGTGTTCACATGTGGGAGGCTGGTGGGGGATCTTTTATCTCATCATTTATTCCAGCAGGTTAAAAAAAATAAAAAATAAAAAATGCATCTGGTAACAGGAAGTGTCACAATAAACTTATACTGGAGTAAATCACTAAGAATTGATAAAACAAACAATAACTAATGAGTAATAATAGTAAGTTATAATAAAAATAATAATAACTATTGGCTGTAGCAGATGACTAATGTGCTCCATGTGCTAATGTAATGAATGTCCTTGACCACGCTGCGGCTCAAACACTGTACATGGACATATGGGGTTTTTATGGACAGTCCCTCAGTGCTGTGGACACGCAGCCAGGGATATTACATTTACCATTTCATTAAGTCCATGAGGAACATGTCTTCCGGAAATGGACTATACAGGTAGTCGTAAAATATAAGTCATGTTAACAACTTCTGAACAAGCACTATGCTAATTGAAGCTTTTCCCATTGGGTGCATTAATATAAATGTCATAAAATTAGGCAGCGAACAGGAAGGGTGATCAAAAGTCCTTGGGCCCCTCCCTCTTCAATTACAGTGAGAAAAGCCTGAAAGCGGCGAGGAGTGAGAAAGAGAGCGTTCAGTGGAAGTCCAGAGAAAATGTCTATTCTAGCCTCATTATGAAGTCAAGACAAATTGACTGCTGCTGTTTTAGGACTTTAGTGTTTTTTTAATCATTTCACTGCAAACACTTGAATTATTCTGTTTTTGTGGAGCTGTTTGTGCTTCATGCAGATATTTTAACTTAATAATGTCCTTTAAACTCACAGTCTGTAACTTCTGCCTCTCAATCAAAACAATAACAACAGACGCCGCTGGGGGACGTCGTGAAATAGCGTCAGTGGTTCAAGAAATCCAACAGACCCGGTGATTAGAAGCGATAAAAACACTGAATTGTGGCAGTTTCACATTAAAAGTCAGTGTTTGACTGACGCTCTTCAGGACAGGACGTCTCCAGAGGCTGGGAGCTGAGCTGTCGAACATTTCCTCAGCTTGTTTCTCTGATAACTTCAGATCCAGACGTCCGACGACTAAAATCCTTCATCTGGTTCAAATAACAAGCTGAAAACCACCAAGGTGTAAAAAGTGTATGTGACTTTAAAACTAGATAAAAGACAATGTTGAGCTTCTGTCAGAACAAACACACTGACAGTGATAATACAGGATATGATGTCATTGACAGGCGACCAATGAAACGGAGCAGTACAATAGTAAAATCACAGATTTCACTGGATTGAGAAATGATGGAAACATTTGAACACAACTTAAAATATATATATATATATATATATATATATATATATATAACAGATCCACTCATTTTCAGACATTTTAATGTGAGAAAGTTACAGATTATAAATTTAATTTCCATAATAACTGTGTAATACTATAATTCCACTATCCATTTAATATATATAGGCAATTTAAGTCCTCTCCATATTGAAACAGAGAAACCCCTCGGATCTCACGCTGCAACAAAAATGCCTACAGATGTAGGTTTTAATATTAGTGGTATAAACATAGAGTGTGTGTTGCGGTGACTGACGGGTACATACTGGAAGTGAAATTAAATGGCAGGATGTAATTGTCTTGTCAGCGTTGTTGTGATCTCTTCATTTTCTCTTGATTGGGAGGTGAGTGTGAGACCACCTGTGAGTCAGAATGACGGCTTGATATTGGATCCTGGAGGAAATCAGTCGCCACTACTAACTGAAAGCTGATTTTTCCAACTGGATGCACATTGTTATATCAATAAGCAGACTGTGTCCCATCAGGGCAGAGGAACAGAATCACTTTTCAAAGCAAAGCCGTGCTGCTTAACTGCTGCAGAAAACTTTCCTTCGCCTTCACAACACATTAACCCGTGTCTGTCTCATATCGGCCCCTAGGCGAGATGCAATTACCACGCCAACGGCACAGCGATGGATTGCTGATGAAATGAAACTATTATTGAAGGAGAGGTGCTTCACTTTGTCTCTGTCTCTTGCTCTCGTCTCTCCCGCTTTGTCTTTGATGATGTTTATAGATAAATTATGTTCAATCTCCATCTGATTAATGCAAACTCAGATTGGGAGAAACTCCTTAAACTGATTATCTTAATCAAAGTGAGGTGATAATCAGAGCTCAAGTCACCTCAAGATTTCTGCTTGTGTCCTGTGATTTATTGCAGATTGTATTCAGTTCAATTAAAAAAATTATAGACTTTGTCCCTGAAGGGGGAATTTAAGAGAAGTGGTTTTACAAACAACTGAGGAAAGAGGTCACAAATCTCATAACACACGTCTGTAGTTTGAGGCCTCATTTTCTATATCACCTGAATCAGTTAAACTTCCTCCAGACATGTTTTAAAATCCTCTGCTATGATTCATATTTAGTTTAACTTGGTTTTCAAACATGAAGTGAAGAAACTGGGTGTGAAGCTCATCTCCTCTTACTTCCTGATTGAGAAATCTGGATCAGACTAGCAGGCGTATCAGAACAGTTAGCTAGTTAGCATCTTTTCAGAATAGTTAGCTAGTTAGCATCTTTTCAGAACAGTTGGCGTAGTTATCATCTTTTATTTGTTCATGTTGTTTGTTAGCTTGTAACTGGCAGTGGCTGACACAGTGTTAGCGGTTGTGGTAATGCTAACTCTCTCTCTCTCTATCTGTACTGACACGGTGTCAGGTGTATTTAGCCCCACCCCCCATCCCCACAAGTTGACAGGATTGGTCCCTTAGATTTGTGATGTATGAAACCCTGAATCTGTCATTGGTTCACTGCAGTTCAAGGTGGAAACACTGAGTCATGGTGTTAACTCATCATGTGTGGCGTGTGACATAAAACTTATCATATGGACGTTAAAAGGTCAAACACTTGATTTTCATCTGAGGGTCTTTAAGAAAACATTGCATCACCAGAGTAACTGCAGAGATGTGGTCTCTCAGTCAGTACGTTTGAACGCTTGTTGGTTGCATTTATTCTTAATTTGTTGTATTGGATCATTGTTCTGATCCACCCACGTAGCATGAAGTGGCTAAGTGTCAGTTGGATTGAAGAGAAGTATTATTTGGTACCTGAGGACGTCACTGTAGCATGTTCGGTCTCAGCAGAGTTGCATATTAAAATTTTAATGAAACCTCCTTTTACAGTTTTAACTGTAGCGGCCAAAGGAGTCGACGTCCAAATTCTACAATAAATTCATAACAAAATATGTCTGAGCTCAACACTGAGGAGCTGCTTTGGCTCTGCTTCTTTTCTTGTTCTTCGCCACCCAAAAGCTGCTGCACATGCACACAATGCCAGGATAATTGAGATGTATTACACTGAAAAATGCATGACCGCTGCAAAGACAGTGTATGCATTATGTATGTCTGTGTTTGTGCGCGCACACACACACACACACACACACACACACGCACGCTCAGTCCTCAGTCTTCAGTGTGTTGTGATATACATTCAGAGCATCTGGCACCCAGCTGTTTGATGGCCTCTTTGTGTGGGCTTTCTTTCCATTGTGGCGTCGTGTCGGCCTCCAGGCTCACGCTCACAAGTTTCAAAAACTCACGAGTTAAAACTGTCACAGGTGAGCCGCGTGAGATCGGCTCCTTTTTATGACAGTGTTGACGTCTTCCGCTTTGAGCAGTCAGACAGAAGCATGACAAACATGCAACCAGAGACGGTAGAGAGAGGAGACGGCGCACGTACAGTCGTTTCCTGTAACTGTGTCACATGGTTTCTCCACCCCCCTCATCCCCTCTTTAGGAGAGTCTGTTCACTGCAA